TAGACATTATCCATGAATAGATTACTGAAGATTTTGTCAAGTTTTGCTATCCAAGTCTTGCCTTTGCTGGTTTTGATGAAGCAAGTTGGCATGTTATGAGCTATCCTGTGAAGAGGTTCAGATAGCAGAGAACTGAAGGTAGACTCTGGCTGACAGCCAGTAAGGAACTAAGGCCCTCAGTACAACCATCTGCAAGACTTAAATCTTGCCAGTGACCATGTGAACTTGAAAGTGGGTCCTTCCCAATCAAGCTTTCAGATGAGACCCCAGACCTGGCCAACACCTTGACTGCAACCTTGTGAGACACCCTAAAGTAGAGGACCCTTCTGAACTGTGCCTGGATTCCTGACCCATTGAAACTGAGATAAGAAAAGTGTGTTGTCTTGAGCCCATAAGATTGTGGTAATTTGTTATAATAGATAACTAATATACTACCTAATTTATATCTGACTTCCTCTGCTTCTGTCTCATTTTCTTGACTTGACAATACTCATACAATGACATCCATATTAAACTCAAATACATCTTGTGCTTTTTGTACTTGTCAGACCAGCAAAAACTAAAATGTTGGATAATTCCAAGATATGGAGAAGTAGAAATTCTCTTGTTCTGTTTGGAGTATAAATGGATACAATCAGTTTAGGAAATACTTAGTAAAATCTAGGAAAATTGAAGATGAACATGTTTTGCTATTATTGTCCTTCTTGGCATAAATCCTATTAAGTCCTTTGCACATATGTACAAAGTAACATCCACGGATATTCATTGTACAACCTTTAGATTAGTGAAGTATCAGGAATGTGGAGCTGCTCAAATACTTAAAAATGTGGAATGGGGGGCACCTGGGTGGCTCAGTCTGTTGAGCATCTGACTCTTGGTTTTGGCTCAGGTCATGATCTTGTAGTCATGAGATTAAGCCCTGTGTCAGGCTCTGTGCTCAGTATAGAGTCTGCTTCAAATTCTTTCTTTCTCTCTCTCTCTCTCTCTCTCTCTCCCTCTCTCAAACAAGCAAAAAAATCTTTAAAAAATGTGGAATGGCTTTGGAACTGGGTAATGGGTAGAGGTTGGAAGCGTTTTGAGGTGCATGCTAGAAAAGGCTGACATTGCTGTGAACAGACCATTAAGGGTGATTCTGGTGAGAACTCAGAGGAGAGCTGTAGGGAAAGCCTCAATCTTCTTTTTTTTTTTTTTAATTTTTTTAAAAATTTTTTTATTTAGTTATGATAGTCACAGAGAGAGAGAGAGGCAGAGACACAGGCAGAGGGAGAAGCAGGCTCCATGCACCGGAAGCCCGACGTGGGACTCGATCCCGGGTCTCCAGGATTGCGCCCTGGGCCAAAGGCAGGCGCCAAACCACTGCGCCACCGAGGGATCCCCAGCCTCAATCTTCTTAATACTGAACAGAATGGTGGTAGAAAGGGAATGGTAAAGGCCATTCTGATGTGGTCTTAAATGGAAGTGAGGAACATTTTATTGGAGAATGGAGGAATGGCCATCATTTTTATAAACTGGCAAACAATTTTGCCATGAATTTTGTTCATGTTCTAGTGTTTTGTGGAAGTTAGAACTAGCAAGTGTCAGCCTCAATAAAGTGGTCAACTGAGGCTGTGGAGGCCGAGAAAAATTAAGGCCATCCCACCTAAAGTTTAGCATTAGCACAAGTACAGCCATCTTAGGCCCCTGTGAATAAGAGCTGAACTTTATGGGAAAAACTGCAGAATGTCCTCAATGTCCTCGGCAGGTAATCCCATATCAGAAAGACAACAGAGCTCAGAATTGCCTTCAGCAGAGAATCCCATATCAGAAAGACAACAGAGCCGACGCCCGTGGTAGAATGTCCCATATTAGAATGAGAACAGAGCTCAATGCCCTTGAAAGCACCACATCAGAATGTAAACAGAACTTGAGAAATTCCTCCACCCCTTCTGAAAATCCCCTAGACCAGCCTATAAAAAACCCAGCTGTAAACCACTTCGGGGTTCAAGTCCCTGCTCCGCTGTGTCAGGTATACTTGGACCCAAGCTCAAGCTTGCTAATAAACCCTCGTGCACTTGCATCCGTGTTGGCTCCTTGGTGGTTTCTCGGATTCGCAATCTTGGGCACAAGAAGGCAAGCTCAAATTACCTAAAGTTGAGTTTATTCAGGAATAGCAGAGGAATACAACTTGGGAAATGCAAGCTACAGGCCAGTTCATTCAGTGTCTAGGGTGTTTATGGGCAAGGAATGCAATGAAAGGCGGGGGGGGGGGGGGGGGTTGTTGAGCCAGAGTCCAAGCAGTGAGTTCATTGTTTTAAGGATGGGATGAGATTCGTTTTGGATGTTCATTGATCAGGCAGTAAATATGGGTTTTGGGTGAGTCAGGCATTTACTGGAAATTAGTCTTTTGAGGGTGCATTTTTTTTTTTAAGATTGTATTTATTTGAGAGAGAGAGAGAGCACAAGCAGGAGAAGGGAAAGAGGAAGAAGCGGACTCCTCACTGAGCAGGGAGCCTGAGGGTAGGGTGGGGGTGGGGTGGGGTGGGGGTGCTCAATCCCAGGATTCTGGGGCCATGACCTGAGTTGAAGGCAGCTGCTTAGCTGATTGAGTCTTGAAGGCACCCCTGGAGGCACATTCTTGAGATTCTCCGTTTCATATCCTTGGTTCCATTTGAGATTGAAATCCTTTCACACCAACAATGAAATTGGATATTTAGCTGAAGCAATTTCTAAGCAAAGTGTTGAAAGAGCAGCCCGGTTCTTCCTGACTCCTTATAGTAAAATTCAAGAAGAGAGAAATGACTTAAAGATGGAATTTTTAATCACAAAGGAACCAGAACTTAAATATTTGGAAAATTCTCAGTCTGTCTCCAATGAAAGGAAGGAGAAAGCCTATTTGGGAGAGAACACTAAGGGTGTGGCTAAGTGACCATCTGATAAGGAGATTAGTATGGATCAGTGACTTTGGCAGAAGCCAAGTGCTATTCTCCAAGACAATGGAGGAATGACCAAAGATTCCTCAGGGTGATTTAAAGATCATCAGGCCTACCATTCCCACATAGGCCCAGAGTGGGAAGGCAGGGAAGAGGAGTTTGAAGAGGGGTTGCTGGCACTTGCAGGAGCTCAGTGCGAACTGCTGGGCACTGCCTCACCTCACACCCCATGACTGCAACCACATACCCTAGCCATGCTCCTAGCCGGGCCCAAATGAGATGTCAGTGACCCAGGTACAGTGCGGGCTGCAGTGGTTGACCCCCGAGAGAGTGCAGGCAGCAAACTGGTGGTATCTGCATTGCCTACAGAGTATACAATCCCTGGGGACATGGCTTCCTTCACTTAAATTTCAAAGGATGGGACCTTGGAGCCTAAGAGTGGTGCCCAAGGGGAGTCACAGCAGTTGAGACCACCCAAAGCCATGGGGACAGGGCTGTTGGGAGCCCTAGGGCCTAATTTCTGCCTGACAAAGCTGGGAAAGCAAGACCACTACCCCAGTGTGTCTGGAAGGTGGAACGTCTACCCCAGTGCACCTGGAGGGCAGAGCATCGAGCCAAAGAGGATTAGTCTTCAGCCTTAAGGTCTAATGGAATTTGCCTTCTTGGGTTTGGGTCTTAACTTTGGACCTCACTCCTTTCTTTCCTGTTTCTAACTTTGGAATAGGAAAATTAGTCCTGTGCCTATCTCACCATTTTGTGTTTTGGAAGTACATGGCATGTTTTGTTTCACCAGCTTACAGCTGAAGAGGAATTTGCCTTAGAGTGAATATTGATTAACTAATTTAGATGAGATTTTGGATGTTAGAGTTGATGACATATGAAAAGGACATGGATTTTGAGGGGCCAAGGGTAGAATGCTGCAGACCAAATGATTGTGTACCCTCCAAATTCATATGTTCAAACTCTACCCCCCAATGCGATGGTATTTGGAAGTGGGATCTTTGGGATATTTGATTAGGTAATGAGGGTGGAGCTGTCATGAGTGGGAATTAGTGTTTTTATGAAAGACCTCAGAGAGTTCCCTCTTTCCTTCTGCCATGTGAGGGCATAGCAAGAAGACTACTGTCAATGAGGTAGGAAGCTGGCTCTTACCAGACATCGAATCTGCCAGTGACTTGACCTTGAACTGCTCAGGTTCCAGAAATGTGAGAAATAAATTTCTGTTTATAAGCCCTCCAGTCTATGTTTTTTTTTTTTTTTTTTTTTTGTTACAGTAGCCCAGACACACCAAGACATGAAGGTTGGAAAGAAACTGTACTTTATGGTTGCAGCAGTTAAAAATGAGTGAACTAACTTTCCAGGTATAAACTTGGGCAAACCTCACTGTTGTCTTGCTTTGAGAAATTGGCACAGCCACCCCAACCTCCAGCAACTACCACCCTGATCAGTCAACAGCCATCAACAGTGAGGCAAGATCCTTCACCAGCTGAAAACCCATCTTTTAGCAATAAAGGGTCTTTGTATTAAGGTATGTACATCATATTTATTAATTTATATTTTTAAGATTTTTTAAGGATTTTTCTTTTTAAGCAATCTCTACAACAGAACATGGGGCTCAAACTCACAACCCTGAGATCAAGAGTCACACTCTGGGACACCTGCATGGCTCAGTGGTTGAGCGTCTGCCGTTGACTCAGGGTGTGATCCCGGGGTCCTGGGATGGAGTCCCACATCAGGCTCCCTACAGGGAGCCTGCTTCTCTCTCTGCCGATATCTCTACCTCTCTCTGTGTCTCTCATGAATAAATAAGATCTTAAAAAAAAAAAAAAAAAGTCACACGCTCCACCAACTGGGCCAGCCAGATGCGCCAGTACATCGTTTTTTAGACATAATGCTATTACACAGTTAAAGGTTATAGTATAGTGTATACATAACTTTTATATGCACTGGGAAACCCAAAAATTCATTTGACTTGCTTCACTGTGATATTTGTTTAAAAAACAACATGCTTATTTGTTATGAAGGCATAATTCCATCCACAGAGCAAGGAGGAAGAAAAAGCACAAAACTTAGGAGATTGCTGTCCTTTATTTCATTGTGACTTCACTGTCAGATAATGACAACAGTTAACCGGAGAGCTGGGGGAAAGGGACAGAGACAAGGATGAATAAAGGCTGTTAGAAGTCTTCATTGTAGCTATCAGCAAGGGCTTCTTGAAGACGTGAAATTTGTGGTGGGATTTGAGAAAGGAGGAAGCAGCCTGGTGAACATAAGGCAAGGGTATCGCAGAGAACTGGATGATGAACAGTTTGCTTCAATAGTTAACCATTTAGGAATGATTCATGTAAGTCACATCATTTACACACATAAATCACAAAGAAGACCTAAAATGTAGCAGAAAAACCAGAGGGAAGAGAGGAAATGGAATTTACCTCTTAAACCCATCCCTTTCAATTCCCTACAGGTCAAACTAAAATAGGACACAGAAAAAAAACAGGCAAAGGATTCCGGTACCAGGAGTAGCCCCCTAGAGTGGCTTATATCTTCTTGGAAGGGGAAATGGGATCCCAGCCGTACCGCTCCTTTTTTCATTCAGACTTAAAATGTTTTGTGCTTGTGGTTGCTTGGCACAACACTGCCTTTTACAAATAGAAAACCTGATCACAAACTGCTTTTCCTCTGTGACATGCCACCTACATTGTAATGTGTTTCACTGGTGAAATCACAAGGTGACATGCTTTTCAGTTCGCTAGAAAATGTTCTACACGTCACAAATGAAGTAACTTGCCAACATTTGCCTGAGCAATTCACATTCAGTTATGTATTCCTCTACTAAATGTAAGGTCCTAAAACAGGTGAAAGATGTGTTGCTAATGTATTAGCAGCTTGCTGAATACACACGATGACTTACTGCAGTGCTCAATGAAAGTACTATTACTTCAGCTATCACAGAGGGCTGTACATTCATTCATTGAGTTACATACCCACAACACTCCAGACTGTTACAAATCCACTTAACAGCCCCGAGTCCTGGGTTTTCTGTTCATATTTCTAAATTAGCATAAAGAAATACAAAATCATAAGCAAGGAGAATCCCCACAGGCGACTGCCAAGAGGTTCTGTTGTTTATTTTGGCATACACAAGAAATATTTGGAATTCCCCAAATGTAAAGCAGTTCTTTTCATTAAGACTATGTGATTAAATGAGGCTGGCCTAATAGTTCTGGTCTTTAAAGAGTGTCTCCCTTCTAATGGGAGCATTGAAGCAGAAGCATAGTAAGTTCATGAATAAAATAGAGCAAAAGACTCATTTGGGCTGGATATGGCAGAAACATAGGGAAAAGGTTCTCCCCTTCCTTTTCTTGGCTATTACCTCCTCATATCACCTGTGAGAAAAGGCAGCATCAGAGAAAAATATGCACCCTGAAATCCTTTTCATCCTTCTCTTTGACTCACCAAGTCCCACTTAATGAGGTCTCTGGTACCACTTCTTTGCTTTTTTCTTTTCTTTTTTTTCCTTGTTTTTTCATCGTTAACTTTTGTTTTCCTTCACTTGCTAAAAAGTGTAGAAGGGCAACTTTAAAAAGCTGAGTTTTCGACATATCCAAGAGAGGTCAGACTCCAGATGAAGCATGGGGTTCCATCCAAACTGTGGTAGAGAACTGTAGGCTCACCAGCAGTGATTTTTATGGGCCAAGCTAGCTAGGCCTGGCATCCAATGGTGAGAGCTGCTATGGCAGGCCTGGGTCTCTGTGTCTCTGCTCTTCACATACCTGAGATGCAGAGCACCTGTGTGTGGTAGGACTGGCCCTTCAGCACTTAGGGCAACTGTCTATTGAAGAACTCTCCCCCTCATCTAAGGTAGTGTTTCTTAAACCTTTTGGACTGACATTCACAGCAGGAGCTATGTTTTATTTCACAATTCATATTTGTCAGGGTCCACCACTCAGGAAAAAAAAGAAACCAAGGCAAGTATTTCAGCAGAGAGAATTTAGCAGAGGGAATTGATTAAATAGATGTTGGAGCGGCTGTAAAATTTTAAAAAGAACACTGGAGTAACATGTCAACAATAATAGCAAGAAGCAGATAACTGCCTTTGGGGCGAGAGATCAATGAGTGGAGGGGAGGGTGGGTTCTCAGAACCCAGCAGCTTAGAAGAGAAGGAACATGGTTGTGGGACCCAGACCTCTCCAGAAACACACTGCCTGACTCATGCTGCTAAGTCTGGGGTGGAGGGAGAAGTGGTGCTGTGAGGCTGGTTCTGGAAGTGCCACTAGAAGCCTGAGACAGAAAAAAAAAAAAAAAAAAAAAAAAAAAAGTATGTTGGTAAATTGAACACCAATAAAAATTAATTTATATTAAAAAAAAAAAAAAAAAAGAAGCCTGAGACAGAAATTACTGCCTCCAGGCTAAAAGGCCATTGCTAGAGTGATGCTGATAGGAATAGCAAGCTAACAGGAAGTGACCATGTCAGCAAGTTGGCTTCCTCTTCTTCCAGCCTTGTGCTCTTCCCTACTATATCCAGGAGCTAGAAGACAAAGGAGATATGTGGGTTGCCTAGTTCCAGCTCTACCAATACCAGCGGTAGAGGGAGGGTAGATTTGAAGCCCAAAGTCCAATGACTGTTGTACTTGACTAGAACTATGTGCATACACTCTGCATTTCATTCCTATTGCTTCTGTTTGATTCTACCTTACCCCACTCTATCTTACCCTATCACATTTTAAACATTAAAAAGCTGGATAGGATGCATGAAATTGATTTCATGACCTATTAAACTTTGCTCTAGGACCTAGTAGTGACTTTGAGCATTGGAATTCAGTGTCCCTTACCTCCCAAACTCCTTCCACACCAAAAGTGACTTAGGGGAACTGCCTCTTAAGGTACTCACTCATCCACTGAACACATATGGGGGCCCACACTTTTCCACAGGCCTCAGGGATATTTATATTAGGAGTCTATGAATGTCCTCTATAGCATCAGAAGGGGGAAAGCAAGAGAGAGGAGGTTTAACTCAAGAGAGAAGGAGCCATGAATCAAAAATATTGTGTCCTTATATGAAAGGTATTATAAAGATGTATTGGAAATACCCAGAAATGTATGTCAGAGGAGTTTGAAATCCAGTGAGGAGAAAAGACAAAAACCAATGAGTAAACAATGCGTGAGCTGCCACTAGATGGTACGTTGTCTAAGTGGGTAATACAGGCAGGAAATTTTGTGAGTACAGAGCAGGAATAGGATTGTGAGCAGGAATGATCAGGAGAGGCTTCATGTAGAGGCCTGAGGCAGTTTTTGCATAATAGGTAGAATTTAGGGTAGGGGGATAGCATTCCAGGTGAAGAGATTATCATATAGAACAAGGTAAGGAAGTGCACAACATGCTTGAGGCAGTATTGGAGCTTGTGGATCAGAACTAGTAAGGGAAATCTGAGTGTCAACCAGAGCCAAGAGGTGAAACCCTATAAATGGAGAGGGTGTATTGATTCAATGTTGGGAGCTATTTCCACTTAAGAAGCTGGTAGAAGAGCTGGTGAATAACACAATGAAGCATGCTTTGAGGAGAACCAAGGTCATGAACGGCTAAGGAGGGTGGCCAGCAAAGTCAAATGCTATAGAGGCCAAGACTGAGAACTGAGGAAAAATGTCTGACTTTGAACCAGATGTGCTAAATCTTTTTTTAAGATTTTTATTTGAGAGAGAGCATGCACAAGCGGGGAGGAGGGGCAGAAGGTGAGTGAGGCAGACTCTTTCGCTGAGCAGGACCCTGAGATCATGACCCGGGTGAAGTAGATGCTTAACTGAGCCACCTAGTCGCCCCTAGATGTGCTAAGTCTCTTTAATGAGGGCAATGGCTCATGACCATATTGTCCATGTAGATTAATCCGTTATTACTTTCAGATTTGCACAGTGTGTTTAACTATTACTTGAACTAATCCAAAGTTTCCAGTGAAAAGAATATACTATTGTCAGTTCTCATTCCTTCCCAACTGTCCACAGCCATGCTAGGTTTTCTAAGGCTATGCTTCAGGAGCTCATGTTCTTCCTCTGTGACCATCCTCCTTCAGCTTACTTCAAGGCAGCTGCTGCCTTTCACTGCTGTCATCATTCTCCTTAAGTGGCTTGTCCTGCTGAGCTGCTTCTCTGGGGATTCTGACTTCAAAAAAAACAAGGAGGGTTATGCATTGGGGCCTTGCATTTGCAGACTTCTTCATGGCTGTAGACTGCACTACAACCCTGGCCAGCTGCCTTGTAAATGCAAGTGACTGGTCACAAGGGAAATCAGATGAGGGCTAGATGGATCAGGTGAACCTATCATCTCTACTACAAAAACATGTGTTCAGCTGATAGCAGATCAGTATCATCTTCTCCAGGAGTAAAGGAGACTCTATTTATATGTTCATTATATATGCAGAGTTGTGATCAAATTGCTAGAGGTGACAAGCCCAGGTGTTGCTTCTATAAGGATGTCATTATTGCTACTAAGCATTAACTCAGGTTTTGTTCTGGATTTTATTGCTTGAATGCTGTCATTACTTCTGCACAATATAAGCTATGATGATGGAGATTTTAGGTTCTTTTCTTTCTCTTCGACATCAGGTTCCAGCTACTATCAACTGCTTCCTCATTTACACTGAATAGTTTTCTTTCTTTCCTTTTTTTTAAAAGATTTTATTTATTCATGAGAGACACAGAGAGAAGGCAGAGACATAGACAGAGAGAGAAGCAAGCTCTTGGCAGGGAGCCCAATTTGGGACTCAATCCCAGAACTCTGGGATCACGCCCTGAGCCGAAGGCAGACGCTCAACTGCTGAGCCATCCAGGTGTCCCTGCATTGAAAAGTTTTCATAACTGAACCCCCTATGCAGGTAGCCTAGATAGGTCATGTGCATAAGCTTAATATTTACTGAGTATACTCTGGGCTGAATCAAATAGAATATGCAGATACATACCGAGTTGAAACACGATTTTGATAGCTGGCACTACAGTTCCTCTTGGGCCAAGTACTTTCTTTGTGTAGGAAAATACTTTGATAAACAGTTGAGGAGTGGAAGGTGGTCCTGAAGGTATAGGTTAGGAAACAGAGATAAGTAAAAGTATTATATAAAGAGAGAAGAGAGAGAGAGGGCCAGGGAGATGTTGGTTAGCGCAGGGTTGCAGTTTCTGCTGAAAAAGGATATGGGTTGGTGGATACCAATGCCATTAGGATACTGAGGTCCTTCCAAGACCAGGGAATTCTAACTTTAGGTTATCTGCATCCTTCATTTAAAACCCTTCAGCTGCTCCAAACCTTCAGCGGAACCTGTTATACAAATGAACAACCAAAGAAAAGGGCTTGATTTCCAAACTGCGTCAGCAGGAGAGAAAAGCGTTGCAGAAGGTGAGATGTGAGAGAGTCCATGTGTTCAGAGAGAGCAAGAACTCAGCCAGAAGTGACCCTGAGATTCTAAAACCCCCAGGGATTGTACAATCTTGGAGAGAACGTTGGCCTTTCCACACGAGGTGGGAAAGGGACTTGAGTCCATTTTAACAAAATTTCTGTGGACAAGGTGACCCCGACTGAGAACTGGATGACATGCACAGTAAGCAGCTTGCTATTTTCAATCATAATTTCTCAAGAGACATTTATTGGTAGAAAATGACAGGGTAATTCCGCCACCCCACTTCCTCCGTTTATTTAAATTACTAGGTCTCATTTTCCTCATCTGCAAAGTCTGGAGATTGGACAGAGACCATCTCCCTGGTCTCTATTAGAGTCTACAGCTCTAATAATGACCTTACAGATGCAGAGAACAGACTGGTGGTTGCCAGACGTGGGGATTGGCAGTAGTGGATCCAAATGGGTGAGGAGGGTGGTCAAAGGGTACAAATTTCCTATTGTAAAATAAGTCAGTCCTGGGGATGTAAGGTACAGCCTGGTGACCAAAGTTAACAACACTGTATTGTGTATTTGTAAGTTGCTAAGACTGATCTTAAATTATTTTTATGTTCTTTTTTTTTTTTTTTTGAGGTGCATTCACCTACAGTGAGATGTGCAGATTTTACGGGTACCATTCCATGAGTTTTGACAAAGGCATACGCCTCCGTAACCCAAAGCCTAAGGAAGATACAGAGCTTCTCCATCACTAGAGAATTCCGTCCAGCCGCACCCCAGCCTCCCCTCCGGCCACTCCTCTTCTGACTCTTACCACGAAGGGTTAAATAAGATTTAAAAATCGTTAAATGCCAGTCTTTGTTTCACGGTGGTCCATCGGTGTCGATGCCCTGATTTCTCAAAGGCTCTGTGCACTGGACAGCGTCTCCATTTTGCAGATTAAGGCGTTCCGCAGCCGGGAGTGAACTGCCCCCGGGTATCCGCTACCCGGGTCGGGGCAGGACGGGAACCGAGAAGCGGTTCTGCGGTTTCTACGGCCCCGGCCCCGCACCTCTGAGAAGGCTGTTGCAGAGTCCACAAACCATCACCTCAGAAATAGCATACGCCTCAAACGTTCAGCCCAAATCACGCCTCTTAGGAGTTCTCAGACCTTAACAATCCGAAAGGCCGTACGCTCTACACCTTACTAAGGGACCCTCTCACCCTGCTCCTCAGGAAGCGGCAGAAGGGTGTGCAAGATTGCAAATGCGACTTTGCGGGTGGAAAGGCCAGAGGGGGACCGGCCGGGCCCGGGCCCGACCACCTTTACGGACCAGCGTCCGGCCGAGGGATCGGCCGCTGCCGCGGCAGGGCTCGTCAGGCGGTACCCGAGCTCAGTCAGTCACTCGTCCTCGTCCGCGTCCTCGTCCATGTCACCGCCCGCCCCTCTCCGCCTCACCCTTGCGCCGCCCTTCCCCCGCACCCGGGCGGGGTTCTCAGGCTCCTCCCCCGAGTTGACCGTGAGCCGCTGTGCTCCCCCCACCGCTCGCCTCGCGGCTGCCATGGCAACCGTACGCCGCCGCCACCGCCGCCTCTTCACGCACGTCGGGAACTAACGGACTCGGCGGCCGCCCCCAACCGGGCCGCCTCGCCAACCGCCGGCCGGGCTGCGGCACCTAGGTAATGAATCCGAGGGAGACGGGCGCAAGCAGGAGAGCAGGTGGGGGGGTATCCGGGCTGACAGCCCCACCCAGTCTCCCGCCGCCTAGGCGGTGCTGCGGCGCGGCTGTCGGGGCGCCGTGAGGGGAGGTGGAGAACAGTGGGAGCTCGAGACTCGCGGGGCATTATGGGGATCGTAGTTTAGCGGCCCCGCAGGCTTGCGGCCTTGGCGGCGTGGCCTGGACCGGCGAACTACAAAGCCCGGCGGCCCTGACTGCTGGGAAAGACCGATAAACTTTGAGCCTACCGGGCGAGAGAAAATCTGTGTCTTTGTGGTGCTGGGGCTCTTGGGTGGTCGCCGAACTGCGCTCTGCGCTGGGGAAGGGAAGTGGAGGTGAGACTTGGGCTTCCCGTCCTGCCGTTTGGCCCGCCCCGGTTAACAGCGCTCAGCCCCACCCCGACTGGGCTGGGCCACCGCCCCCGGTAGTCTCGGGGATGAGCAGCCGCCCCAGCTGCAGGGCCTCGGGCCTGCGGCGCCTCTGACCCTCCCAGGTTGCTGCTGCCTCTCGGTGCCGAACCGTATGTATGGCACACATTTGATGTGAGACCCGAGAAACGATTTTTTTTTAACAGGCCTTTCTCCTTTCCCTGATACGTTTATTTTTAGATATTTAATCATGTTTATTCTGAAGTAGCTCGGAGGTGTTTGCATATTAAATCCATTAATAATTACTCAGAGGGCATTAATATTTAAAGGTCAAGTGTAGAAGTAGAGACCATGCTGTTATATAGTAATACCTTTAAAAAAAAAAAACCGTTCTGCCTTTTGCGTTTTATTTATTGAGGGTCAATATTGTAAAATGAGCCCCCCCACCCCTACTTAATACTAGCTTGAACATTGCCTACACATATTTTGAAGATTAATTTAGCTTTAAATTACTAGTGATTTTTAAAGCACAGACTGGTCTTTTTTTTTTTTTTTAAAGCAGTGAGTAGTAGTAATTATTTGATTATTTCAGTGTTCTTTAGAATTTCTCGGTAGCATGTTTTCAGAATGAAAAATGCCGTGTTCTACTTAAAAAAAACAAAAACAAAAACTGCAATACACCTTAGTCCTTAGAGTTGGCTCAGGCCTTGGTGGTAAGGAAGCCCACCAGATTTAAAAAACCTGCCTTGATTATCTTTTAAAATTTTTTCAACAGGTAGATAACGATCCTAGAAATTTGGTATTTTATAGAGTATGTGGAAAAAATTGTTGATAGTAGAGTGGTCTTATTTTGTGTGTTTTACATCATTTTTTAAAAAAGGAATTTATTGGCACAAGCAGGGGGAACAGCAGAGGGACAGGGAGAAGAAGGCTCCCAGCTTAGCAGAGCTTCTTGATTCCCAAGACCCTGAGATCATGACCTGAGCCAAAGGCAGACACTTGACCAACTGTGTTTTATTTATTTATTTTTAAACTTAAAAAAAAAAAAATTAGTTTTGAGAGAGAACAAGTGGGAAGGGGGAAGGGCAGAGGAGGAAACAGACTTCCCACTGAGCAGCAGGGAGTCTGATGCTGGACTGATCCCAGGACCCTGGGAGCATGACTTGAGCCAAAGGCAGATGTTTAACTGACTGAGTCACCCAGCTCTCCAGACTGTGTTTTAATCAAGAAAATAACACAGCGCCACTGCAAAATTCCCTTTTTCTCAAAATAAGACTGGCTTGTAAATTTTACTTAAAGTACCAATTTTTTACAAGGATATGGAAAGTAAATTTTGTAAGACGATTAGAAAAAAATTGAGGCCTTATTAGGGGTTGGAAGCATTTTTTTTTTGTTTATTCAAGATTTGTTAAGAACCTATTATATTGGGGGCACCTGGGTGCCTCAGTGGTTGAGCGTCTGCCTTTGGCTCAGGGCGTGATCCTGGAGTCCAGTGATCGAATCCCACATCGGGCTCCCTGCATGGAGCCTGCCTCTCCGTCCGCCTGTGTCTCTGCCTCTTTCTGTGTCTCCCATGAATAAATAAATAAAATCTACAAAAGAACCTATTATATTGTATATTATGCCTGGTAGTGGGAATAAAAAGATGATAGAAGATAATCTGTGTCTGTATAAGCAAACTGTTACGTCATCACAATAGTATGATAGAGGTAGGTGCAAGTTACTATAGGAGCCCAGAGTGGGAATAAATAGTCATATAACAGTTAACCGTTATTGAATACTTAATTTTAGTGAGGTTCCGTGCAGTATTTTGCATGTAGCCCATTATTTAATTCTCATAAAAATTTCTAGCTACTGTTATTTAGAAATGAGGAAGCAAACTAAGAGATCTTGTCCAGAGTCATAGGTGATAAAGTTTGAACCTGGGATTTCAACCCAGGTTGGGTATAACTCATTTAAGTCATGATCTCAGCCCTGATGCCATTCTCTGTACCCATTGGTAGAAAGATTCTGACCCTAAGGAGATTAGGGGAAGTTTCCAGTATGGTGTGACATTTGACTTGTGTTTAGAAGGTTGAGTAACCTTTCAACGGAAGAGAAGATGAGGAGAGTCATTTTAGGCAAATGGCAAAGGATAATTTCTAGTGGTTTGTGTTTGCAGAACCCTAGGTCTTTCTTATACCTCAGTCCCAGAGTACGAGTACTTGCAGTGTAGTGGGTGGAAGATGCTAAAGTACTTGGTACCATGATAAAGAGTTTGGAAGGTTTTTTTTTTCAACATGGGACAGCCATCAAATTTCGAATGGAGTAGTGGTGTTGTTGTCGGGTTTGTATTTTAGAAAGATAACTCCAGCTGAAGTGTGGAGAATGGACTTTGAAGAGGGGAGATCGTGTGGGGAAACTGGTTTTAGTGGGGGAGAAAGTACAATAGAAAAATGAGTCTGAACTAAGTAGTTGGAGTTATGTAAAGACAGGGATTGTAGAAGTATTTAAGGGTAAAATTGATAGCAGCACTTTTGGGGTGTGTACGTATGTATGTTAGGAGCGAGTGGGACCATGTTTGAAAGGAAGTGGGAGAAGTGCCCACGAATGAGACTGAGAGGTTGGGAGGCAGAGAAGAAAATTTAGAGTGAGTGTGCATAACGAATGACAAAGGAGAGGAAAGTAAGAAGCAGAAATGGTCCGGGTTATCATGTGTTTTGAAGAGCGCAAGTAAGGTAAAGATTGAAACTTTTTTTTTTTTAAGATTTTATTTATTTATTTATTCATGAGAGACAGAAAGAGAGAGAGAGAGAGAGAAAGAGAAAGAAAAAAAGAGGTGTGGAGACACAGGCAGAGGGAAGCAGGTTCCATGCAGGGATCCCGATGCCGGACTCAATCCTGGGTCTCCAGGATCACTCCCTGGGCTGAAGGCGGCGCTAAACCGCTGAGTCACCCGGGCTGCCCCATTGAAATATTTCTAATGGCACAAAATCCATTTTCCTCCTTTAGGAAAGTCTGTCTAAACTTCTTTGCAAAAATGAAAAGGAATGTGAGCATAGGCTACTTGAAAAATAAGTTTAAATTTTTCATGGTATTACATATACAAAAGAAAATAGAATAATGAACCCCCTATGTAGTTGTCACCTACCTTGAAGAGTGAACACATAACCAGTTTTGTTTCATCTAAAACTCCTGTCCCCAAATGGATTATTTTAAAGCTAAACTCAGATATCATATCTCTTTATCTGTAATTGTTTCAATAGATAGCCTTAAAATTAAGGGTTCTTGGAGTGCCTGGCTGGTTCAGTCAGTAGAGTGTGCAACTCTGGATCTTGGGGTTGTGAGTTCAAGCCTCATGTTTGGGTGTAGATTACTTAAGTAAATAAACTTTAAAAAAGAATCAAGGATTCTTAAAAAAAAACTTATTCTACTTACTTGACAGTACTTATTGATATGAAATTTCCAGACACACCTATCTTTAAAGAATTTTGACCCTGAAGAAATGAAAGAGATGAAGCAGTAACTAAAAATGGTTTGTAGATTTTTTCTTTCCTTTCTTACAAATATCGATAAACTATTTGGGAAAGAGCCAATAAAGAGGAAATGTTTGAAGATGTAGGAGATGAGAGAGGACATAGCTGACAGAGGTCTCTGAAAATGTAGGAAAGGATAGATGAGCAGGGTGGAAGAATTAGTTTAGAATTAGTTGCATTTTGTAAGTATCAACTAAGTACTAGCTGTGCTTCTAGGCAGTGTGCTAATGTAGACAGGAGGAGAGAGGCATTAAAAAAGAAAAGAAGTGAGAATAGAGGTGGATATTTATAGGTTGGGTGGCAAAAGGTTAGAGTAGTTCAAATTTATATTCTCTAAGAGGCAGATTAGGAATCAAGGCCAGTTGATGAGAGGAGAGTGGATTTAGGAAAGGAGAATGATGGACATGTGGAATAGCCACCGTGGAAAGCTAGGACAGACAGGTTAAAAATAGTTTCATTGAGCTGAGATTAGAATTCGGTAGTTTTCAATGACAGTGAAACAAGGTTGTGTGATTCCCCCCTCCCCTTAAATTTTGATTTACTGTGGGAGAACTTAAAATATTGAAACCAATAGCCTAATGTGTTACTAAAGAGAAGAGAATCTAGGCTAAGAACTTACGATTGTGTATTCCTCAACAACTTTAGATTTATTCTAAATTATTAACTGATAATTATTTTTTTATGTAAATACCACAGTAAAATTAGAAGGCTCTTACGGATTCTTTGGATTTATACTTTTTTACTTTATTTTCTCAACATGCACGGTAGTATTCTTTTATAGAGAACATTTCTCTATAAAAGGATTGTTTACTGAGTGTGGTATAGTGGAAGGGATCAGATATATCTGTTGTCCATTTTAGAACTACAACTTATTTTCTACGTAATCACGGACAAGTTTCCAAACCTGTCTCCTTACCAAAAAGATATTAATACTATTTATAAGATTTTTGGGAAGAATAGTTTAATGGAAGTAAACCCTAAGTGCCCAGTGACTGAAGGCCTTTCTTTTCACTTTCTCCCCCGAGCAACAATGTGCCAGGATTGTCATTTCTGTTTGACTAGAGGCCGTGTTCTGTGGC